GATTGTTCTCCTCAGGACAAGTGATTGTTGTCATAAACCAAAGTATGGGACAAACTGAAATACTGACCTGATAATGGCACTAAATTTAAAATTCAGGGTATCAGGAAATACCTGCAAAACTAATGGCATTCCCAGCAGACTCAGCTTTAGTGCTTGATATTTGGCAAATATTAGCATGCTAACATGCTAAACTAAGACCATGTTAAACATATCTCATCAGCATGTTAGCATTGGACTGGCACCAGCCTCTTAGTCTTGTTGGTCATTTATCAGTAATGCATTTCATGAAGTTAATTAAGTACTTAAGTCCAAACAGATGTTGAATTCAAGGTCACTTGAAGTTTATGTGGTGAATGTGCTTCAAGCAATTTAGAAAATGACACTTTTTCAAAGGTAGGTAACAAGAGCCTTTGCAGAATGTGCAGTAGCACTCACTGACTTGGGTGATTTGTATTAAGTGCCAAGCACAATCCAGCGCTATCTCTGTGTGCATGTGCTTCCTCTAGCCCTCTCCTCCACTCCCACAAAGCAATATGCTTATCTCCATCCTTTTAATCCTTCAATGCTCTCCCATTCAATCTAAAACACAAGCCTTAAATACATTTCCTCATGTCTTTTTACAGCTTCAAGGTAACTAATTAATTCCAAAAATCAACATGGATAACCTGTGTTTCACTTTCATTTCCACACTAATATAAAAGCTGATTTTATATTTTTACCTTTCTGAGTGTGTATGCTCACAGATATTCAACCAGCAGGGGTGAATCTGGGTTTAGTCTCCTGCATTGCATCAAAAGCAATGGTAGGTTTACAGAGTGGTATATTAGTTTATTGAGAGGAAGTACTTTGAATTCAATGTGTATTAAAGAATTAACAAGGTTGATTTAATGACTCATTAAACAAATCTGGAAGGAGACAAGTAGCTTTGACAAAACAATGACGCAGTAACACAATAACAAGAAGTAGATTAAGAATTAACTTTTTACATCCTTAGCAGCCTATAGCTGATTTTCCTAACTTTATTTTAATGATTAAACACTGGTGAATTGTCTACGATACAGAACTTTGGTGAACACATCAAGGAAATGTCTTAAAAAAGCTTCTTTCCACCTCTGAAATACCTCCAGGATTAGTCATTTCCTCTCCTTTAACTGACCTAGAAAACTGGTCCATGCTTTTGTTTCCCAGAACTGTTTACTGCGATACTCAATACTCTGAGGCTGTCCTGCTCCACACTCAAACAACACATCCGACTCATTCTGAACTCAGTAGCCTGGAAGCTCATGAACCAGAAAACCCGATTGCACGACCCTGACCTACTGTAGATTTGCCTTCTTTGGCTCTGAGCACCAGAACTCAAGAGTGTCCTCAAAGCCCAAATACTGTTTTTAAAAATCATGAAAATAACTCACCCCCTCAGTACATCACACATTTACATGAACTGTAAACCTGATCCAGCTCTCCGCTTTCTAGATGCAACAGTCCTTGTTATTCTCTGAACTTAAAAAAAAAAAATGAACCACCATCTCACCCACTCACTCCCAGAGGGTGCCCTCCCTTTTGGAAATGGGCACAGATTTCAGTAATTCAGACCCCTCATTATTCAAGTCCAGAGTCAAGACCTATTTATTTAGTGCAGCCTACTATCCACATTTGCTCACTGTACTGTATAATCGTCGGCCTTGTCCTCTCATTCCCCCCAGATCTCTCAGTGCTGATCTGTGACCAATGCTTTGTTCTTGTGGGTATCATGCAACCCCATATAATATCTCACACACACATTATACCTATGTGAATGCAGAATTTGAGTGCACAAAATCATTTCCCACTTAAATTCACAAGTTACAAATGTAACCAAAATGCACAAAACTTAAGGTTGTTCCCAGAATAACTGCCTACAACAGTGTGTAACAGAAATTAAACAGTAAACCGATACAGACAAAAAGTTGAAAAAAAGATTTTGCTTTATACACCACGTATATCACACAAATAAAAGATATACAATATAAAGATAAAGACATTGCAAAGCATGTATGTTGTCTGTTCCATAGTGTAATGTTTCCTGAAAGCCAAAGTCTGATCATCTTTTGAGACTAGACTGTAGAGCATCTTTAAAGGAAACGCTTGGAGCCTTTATGCAGCGTTCATGTGCATATAGAGACAGAAAACGCAGCGTAGCCTGGGGCTAGACTGAGCCTTGCCTGGGTAATGATCAGGAAAATCCTGAAATCATCCAAAAAAAAAAAAATCGATATGTTGATGCTACGTTTCCACATCTGGGAACAGTCAAAACTTTCGCAGCTGCTGTAAATAGGACCAAGGTGTGTGTGTGTGTGTGTGTGTATAGACTATTTTGCCTTTGTCAGAAGGCAGAAAACACCTGCTGTGACCTCCCTAACTTTTGCTCTGGTCAGATCACAGTACCACAAGTGGGTTGCTATGTCCTGTACAACCATCATGCGCGCCACTGACTGTACTTGGTGCCGTTTGCCGTTGATTCATGATGGTGCCAAGTGAAGCATGTGAAGAGAAAAAAAGATTGGGGCTAGAATTGAGCCCTGAGAGACCCTAAAGGTGATATCTGCTGAAAAAGATAAAGCACCGTCTATTGTAATATAGTAAGAGAGGTAATACTCTCTCACAATGCAAGTGCAACATACCTTGGTCAGCATACTGTACCTTCAAAATGGTCTCATAAGGGCAACTTTCGAATATATGGATATTTGTAAAAGGGATGGAAATGAAATGAAATCTAATCTATGAAATAACATCAAACAGCTGCTTTTTGTAACTCCAAATAGCACAGATTATGACACAACCTAGAGGGGGCTAGCACGCCCCTGCATGAAGGTGGAGATCCAACCCAGAATATGTGTGTTAAGTTGTAGAAACCACAAACAGCCAAGCACTGACCGATGAATTCAAGTACTTTAAAGATAAACAAACTACATTAATGACTAAATATGAAATAAGTATTTGTCCCTTGTTGTAATGTACAGTAGGGACATATACAGTAAATCAACAAAGAAGTATAAGCACCCATCAGTTTCTGCCACGTTACCCAGAGCTGTGCTTGTTTTACTTGACATAAGGCTCTTGAAGTTTGGTACAGTAGTTGGGGCCATTTGATCTGCATGTAATCAGTCAGTTATGTTTTTATTGTGTCATGCACATACAAGTGCCCAGTCCAAATGGACTTAAAAGATACCAGAGACACCACTGAGGGGGTGACACCTTTGTTCGGACAATTACCAACAAGACCGTTGATATCTGTCCCAAGTTCGACAAATACAGTTTGCATCAATAGGGCGGTTATTGATTATTTTAGTCATCGAGTATTCCATCTCGATTCATTTCAACGACTAATCAGATAAAAAATACTTTTGCACACCCATAGCCTAACAGCACCTGTGTGTAACCGACTGTTCCTGTTCAAGAAAGCTGGAGTCTAACGGGTTTGTAGTGAAAGTTTTTCCTGGTGTGTAAGGGGTAGTTCTGTTACTTGGGTCAGCTATACAATGCGTAGATAAGCTCATGTTGCAGTATAATAGTTACTGAAAGGCTGTGTTGTGTTTGCTGTCACATCAAAGGAATTAAAAGTCCCCGTATATCGTTACTACAGTGTCGGTACCCTTCGCAGCAGAGTTGTCAGACTGCGAACAGCTAAGTGAGCTAATAGCTTAAACCATGGAAAAACAATGCTTTGCAGCTGCTAAGTACCTTTTCACAGTAAAACACTGACGTTGTGCTATTGTGCTAGGCCAGTTCTATTTTACAACTGTACTGTGATACTTTAGTTTTTTCCTGGCCTGTTTCTTCTCTTTGCCCCTGACTATTTTCTCGCTCCAAAGCACGTTGTGTGACAGTAATAATCTGTGCAAAACACTATTTGTGTGCCGTATGGCTGTATATAGTTATATGGATTAAACAAAGCTTTGATACAAAGAATTAGATCTTTAGTAATCAAGTTACTTGAGTTACTTGAGGAGTTGTTTCAGCCCGAGCCTCAAGTAAGGTAATCCTTCAAAGGAACTCAAATGAATCCCCTACATCACATAACAAAGCCTTTTATCTTCAGGGAGACCATCAGATCTGGCTCTTGCTATAGCAGCTGGTAATGCACCTGAATATGTCTGTAGAGAGAAGCACTTCTCAACAGACTTTTGCCTTCTACCCAGGCACTGTGGTTTTAAGACCACAAGGTCCTCGGCGACTCATGTAAAGTTTGAGTCTGACAGCCTGAACATAAACTACGCCAGAGAAGTTTATGTGTAGAGACTTGTTACACTATGAAGCAGCCCTCTAGTGAGACCAAAAAACTCAAGTTCTCCAAAACCCACTAATCGAGCTACGTCATACAGGCTGTCGAGCCCGCTCAGCGCTGAGCCGGAGAAACAACCCAGTGCTCAAGGCGGTCAATTAGAGCTGCATGATCAAATATGTCAAATGCTGCATAAGGTCCCAAGATAAAGCATGAACCATCTCCAGCATCTGCTGTTTAAAGGAGGTCATCCAAAGCCCGCAATGGAATTTCTCCGGAGTAGTTTAAAAAGAGAGCACTGGTGGTTTCGGAGATTTTGGTTGATGATATAAATGTCATCTTTTCCTGCTGGTAAAGACTGCACTATAGTAGATTTTCTCCTAAAGTTGTTTAACTCTTCTAGCTGAGTAGTGGAGTTTAACAATGCTAAAACTAATGGCTCAAACCTTTGTGACAAATACCAATATATCTCGTGAAAATACCGTAAATTTGACTATTATGAACAAGCTGAATTCTTATACAATATATATACTTATTCAGACTCTAAATTACACATTTCAAAATTGGAATTTATACAATGTTGATTTCTACTATTCTGCAAAAGGAGGTTCACATGTTGCAAAAGCACTTTTGTCAAAGTAAAGCAATTCCAAGTAAAGTGAATACAGATAACCTGCTTATATCTCATGACTCATAGTGATGGTTTAAAGTGAGGACGAAGAAGAGAAGAAACACTTACCATGTCTGTATCTGATACTGGTCCAAAACTCGTCACATAGATGTTTGTCCTCACTTCTGTCACACTTTCTGAGGAAAGAGACAACAAGAACCAGAAAACATTACAGTGCAGTCTGTACACAAAAAGCTTTGCTGCAGCTCTGTCTTTGTTAAGTCGATTGTTTGTGTACATGACGGTAAGGTCTGTCTGTTGACATTTAACTAAGCCGCTTTCACACAAAAATTCAACTGTAATCAAAGGTTAGAGAAACACTTCGAACTGAGGGAAAACTGATTTATGCACGCTCTGTGAAGAATTTGTGCCCCTGTGGACGGCTTAATACCTGGATTCCTACTGTCTTTGTGAATCATTTTGTCAAAATCATGTCAACTTTGTTGTGCTACAGATTGCAGGTTTAAGAATACAATGCTGGACCAATTGTGTTAGACAGTCTCTAAAATGTAGACTCAAGCACTGTGAGACAGCACTGGTTATAGCACTCCTAACTATTTGGCTCAGGAGGGGTTTTTTTCAACCTCAATTTAAGAGCAAAAATGTTGCTGTGAGCAACTTCACAGACTGTTTTGAAAGCCTTTAGTTCAGTAAAACTACCATTTGTTTGGCTCAAGCTAGTTTTGTCCACTACAGCATAAAATCTGCTTTGGGCCAGGCCCAAGTCTGTATCTTTGGAGAGAAGACATCCCTTTTGACCCAAAATAATTTTAGTTAGCCTGCCCCAAAAACATTTAACAGTCCCTAAGGGACTACTGGCTCAGGAATAAAATGCAGCAGCTCAGCATTAACGATGCGGGTCTGTTTGTATTTCTAATTCAAATAATGGGCACACTTTGCTGCTGTTACACAATTTTATGCACACATTATAATCACATTAGACATGATGTATGGATCTGGCATGACTCTTCCAAGGCTTTTCTAGGGCCAATGTGGTTCTTAATTACAATTACATGTATCATTGCACGTTATGTTACATTGCAAACTCTATTATTGCTTCTGTTCTGTCACAATGATTTATCAATTATTCTTGATACTGTAACAGTGATCAGATTGATCATTATAGTAAATTAGTCAGGACTTTTAATTGTGATATTAATTATGAGCTGTGAAATAATTATTTCCAGAAACCTCAGAAATGATCTGAATAAAGCATTAGTAGGGCATGATATTAAAGTCGTGACAGATCAAAATTTGCCCTCTGCAGTGTGGGCTGAATCAGCTCCTCTGGGCCAAATGTGTAAAGCAGGCTTTGGGGCCATTGGTGAGACAAATGGCTGCTCCCAGTGGTGCAACAACTAGAGAGTGATGAGGCTTTTCTCAAAAAGTGACTAGATCCTCGGCTGTAACTGTGTCCCAGATCTAAGCGACCACCCACAGGTGAAGTCTCCAATCCTTTGGCAAAGGGCCCCCTTGAGAGAGGAGATCCACTTCCACATTAATCATTCCTTTGACACAAATAGCTCTCACAAATACGTGATTATCACAAAACCAAGTCAGCAGTTTGCATGGCAGGCATAGGCGGGGGAACAGAATGAGTTGCCCCGTTTCTGTTTACAACAATGCACCAGAGCACAGGGCAAAGCTAATAGATACCACTGAAAATGAAATGTAATGTTCTCCAGTTTCTATCCAGTGTGTTTGTCTGAGATGGTCCCAAATGACTGTTTCTCATTAGGACTGTGTGCGGTGGGGCATGAGGGTGACCAACGGTAGGGCGGGGAATTGATTAGATTTTATTGATACCAGTACCATTATCGATTTTATTATTTATATATTATTGGTCAGATTCTTTGTCGATTCCCCTATTGACTCCTGATTAGTCTTCGGTGTCTTTTTGGCCTCAATGCGACTTTCTTATTATTTCCGAGTCTGAATACAGTGTAGAAAAAGAGTAGACCTGTAATAGTTTAAGTTTCTATGTGAAATGAGGCGCTCAACTGGAACTGGTTCTCAGTTTTCATTTCTGAACAGGATGAAGATTAACAGTCTTGCTTGTGTACATGTACAAGCCAATGGTGACTTAAGAGGGCCTTCTAGTGTGTTTGTTTGGAGGGAGATGGTTTGACTGTTGAGGTCCAAGATCTAAACCATTAGCAGGGTTCTTTTGATACTCTTGGAAAAATAAAGTTTATAATCAACATTTTGTATTTTCACAATATATTTTGACAAATAAGATGAATGTACACAAAAAGCTTTGCTGCAGCTGTTTGCGTATGGTGAATTCTGCATGTTGGCATTTAACTAAGCTGCTTCACACAAAAATTCAACTGTAATCAAAGGTTAGAGCAACACCTCAAACTGAACTGTAGATTTATGCACGCTCTGTGAAGAATTTGTGCCCCTGTGGACGGCTTAATAGCTGGATTCCTACTGTCTTTGTGAATCATTTTGTCAAACTCATGTCAACTTTGTTGTGCCACAGATTACAGGTTTAAGAATACAATGCTGGACAAATAGGGTTCACATTTCCTAAAATATAGACTCAATCATGGCAAGACAGCAATAATAACTAGATTTACACTAGAACTATCCATAGTGTTTTGAGTATTGTTTGTATCATAGATGGACAGTCTCTCAGTTTATTAAACTCTGCATTGCAGATCACCTGGAAAGTATCATCAGTAAGAGAGATACAGTGTTCTGCAATACTCCGACATCTTAACTACACAAGACAACACTCATATTCTATAAAATATAGACAAACAATTATCATTTATCATATTCTATGTTGAAATAAAAAATAGGACCAACTTGCTGCCTAATGAATGAAACAAACGTTTAAAATTTGGAGAAATTAAATAGGTCTCTAATACCAGCCTTAATAAAATTTTAATGAAATATGTCATATAGTGCTATATGCAACTACATAAATTCAAGTAAACACACCACAAAAGGCATATCTACCCATTTGTTTAAATCTTAATCTTTTCAACCGATGAGACACAATTGTTTTAGTTATAATTGTACCAGTGCTCATATCTCAGTGGGAATTTCCACTCCTGTATGTGCTTGCTCTTGTTTTTTTCCACTGGCCTGTCTCGCCTCTATATTGCCTGTCTCATGGGCCTAGTAAAAGCCTGCTATGTTTCACTGCACCTCAGAGGTCCGCACATTCAGTCACTGCACTCCAAAAGGAAGCCATCATGACTCTAAGTCCCTGAGTGGTGCAGGCCTCAACGCCATTTCCTTGCCCTTGGAGATGTGAACCTCCGCACAGAGGCTGAATATGACATCAACGTCTTGTGCCTGCTTCTTCTCTCTGGTTGCTGCCATGGAGTCCAGGTCATCCAGCCTGGTGGGCTTGCAGCCTGGTAGCCATGCTCGTGGCTTCAAGCAGCAAGCAGTAGAGCAGAAATGACCATTCCAGCTGGCTGGCTGAGAAATGGCAAAGGCTGCTTGAGCATGTGGGCTTGCTGTTATGCAGTTTGTTGTCCTTGGGGGGTGAATATTTGGATGAAATGGCATCAATTAGAGGGATTTCTACTGACATATGTGCTTATTTGCTATTTGGGCATGATTGAGCAGACTTCCACCCAAGGGAAACCAGATTTTCTGCCCAAAGTGACCTGACTTCAGTGTGATTCTGGTGTTGGTGTGCCGTCTTTGAGGTACCATGTGTCCATGTCCACAAGCAGTAGATGGGTTTACAGAGAGCCAGAGAGTGACTTCATAGATCCATGAGATCCCCAAGCTATCACAGGAAATAAATAATTCAACCATAGCAGAATGAATATAGTGTTTGATAAGTATTACAGCAACAAGAAAAAAAAAAAGTGAATATCAATAAAAATATAATCTCTCAATTTTTACCTCTACCAATTCATCTAAACAATTAACTGCTAGTGTCAGTTGTTCTTTATTTTTTAAAACACTCAAAAACCTAAGTCAGCTGGAGAATACCTAGTGATTTGTTTTGTCATTAAAAGCCCCTGAAAGATGTACATTAATCATTTAATATTCTGTGTGTATACTGTTTACAGCAGAATGTAGTATAAATATGCATGAAGACTTGGAGCAACTGATGCACATTTTCACATATGGTCCATATTTCAAGAGCTAAAACAGTGACACAGTGAGCCGTCTGTAAAACATTTTCTCTGTAGGTGTCTGTGATTTATCTACCATGTAGTGTTGCTTACCTCCCAGCCCAGGACGTAGCCTGTTGTCATATCCATCCAAAAGCCTGTCTAGGATTCGAGTGAAAATGGTGATATTGTCTTTACTATCATCAGGTAGCGGCTCTCTGTGTCCAACTACTGCCCTGCAGGAAGAAACAGAGAAAGGGAGATGGAGTCAAAAGATGGAAAACAATGTTGTTAAGCTATGATAATATTGTTCCACTAAAGCACTGGAGACTGGCAAGTCACTCTATAATTAATATAATAATGATTTATTCATTAAAACGTTATGGATACCAACTTTCAGTGTAAGTGAATGATCTGAGAATGAATGATTTGAAATTTTGACCATAATGAATTGTTAATTAATTCATTTTGTTTTGAAATCTTCACACATTTTTTTCAATATTTCCGACACAGTCACAATCTCAATCTCATGTCAGTGATCAGCCTTGGGCTTGAATCAATATTTGAATAATAATGCCTGCTTGTGTTTGTTTGTCTTACAGGGTGGAACCTGCATATTTACTAAAAACAGTGAATTTATGTTAATGATTTCTTTCCCAAGACGGAAATACTCTGCAGCGTTTTGTTGGAGAATTCATCATATGCTATCAGCCACTGGTTATTAATTTACATGGCCCACAATCCCCTGCAGAACAATATTGTGGTGAGATGAAAAGGCCACTATACTGTAGGTGGAACACTGATGAGTTAATGAGTACTGTCTTTAATTAAACTTAAATTCCCTGAGGAGATGACCTATAATATCCAAGTAATCCCCATCAACAACCAGTCCATGTCCTGATCACAGACGCAGCATTGTGCTGCTCGGTAAGGACGGAGCTTTAAGGTGTTTAGTGTTTAAAGAGTAACCAGAATTTTCCCTGAATGTTGCTTTAAGGGAAGCCTGAACTCTCAACAGCAAGTCTTTGCTAGTCCTCTTAGAATGGCTTTCTGTGGCTTAATCTGTTCTATAATAACTCAACGTAAGAGTCCATCTGAGCTACAACACCATTCATCAAAACACTAACTGGGTGAAGGTCACTACTTCAGATGTATGCAATTGTAATTAGGAGTTCAAAATGACTTGCATGTTCTTGCATGCTCTCAACACGAAACACGTCATTTTGAGTCATTTAGGCAAATTACTTCAACCTAGCAAAGTGACTATTACGTGGGCCTTTTGTGGGCAATAAATAAATATCAATTAAGCATCACAGCTCTCTCATGGTTCAGATGTAGTGTAAACAAGAATAAAAAAGTTTTTATTTTATTTTTTTATTTTCATTCATAGAGAGAACTACTGGCTGTATTATATAGTGTCATCAGCCTTTCAGTGTATTTACATTCAGTAATTACTGCTTTTCAGTAGTTATCTGTGGCGGAGTCTGCCATTCCTATGCTAGATTCAAAGGGCCTTCAAATGTACAAGGAATGTAAAGAAAATGATGCAGCATGTAATCCTGCGTAATTTTATCTTGAATGTCCTCAGGTTTTATGCTTCACTCTTTTTACACCGTGTCAGAGCTGTATGAATCATTATTTCTGCCGCTGTTTCACATTCAAATAATTTAACTGACTTTTATTGTGAAACAGCCACAGGAAACACAGGAAAGATTATTATTCAAAAATGACTACTAAATGAGACATGTCATTTTTTGGCATTTTTGACCTCTGACAGTGGATCTGCTCCTGGAGTGTTTGCTGCAGTATTAAAACATTTTTTTTGTCCCTATGGTAACCATTGGTGTCACCAAATCAACCAGCACTAAAATCTTAAGAATTACAACTTTAAGAAGAAAGTACTAATGATTATCCCGATGATGTCAGATATAGACTGAGCCTTTTAACACTAAGCTCACGATTTGCACCTCATTGAGTGGGGCACAGTTTGATATATTCTGGTTGACATAACTAACTGTATAATTAAATTCTGCCAAAAATATTTTAAAATATGGCAGTGTAACGGTATACTCATAAATATTTGGAAATATGAATTGTAAATCAAAATTTCTGGCTTTTCATTCACACACCTCATCAAAAAATGACAGGCGTGCGTGTTTAAGGCAGCTCAGACACACCGAAAACCACCAAATACAAAATGCTTTAGAAATGGCTGGGACGAGTTTAACTGCAATAGGTAGTATCTCACTTAACATGAATCATATATCAAACAAAAAGCCTCTGTGGCTTCTCCGACGGTACCAGTGGAAACTCAAAAATTAATGAGAAACCTTTAGTCCCCGAGAAACCATTCTAACAATGTCTGCTCCACACTAAAATATCCACTTCAGAAAAACAAAGTGCTTGTGTGGTGTGCAGCATCTGTGCGCTTTACTGAAGCACAGACACTTTCTCTGACACACATATGCACACACACACACACACACACACGTCTTCCAGTATTAGCCAGCTGTTTATATTCCCTGATGAGGACAAAGAAATGGGACATTCCCTCTGAATTTTACATCATTTTTAGTAAAACACACAGGTTTTATAATCATGCCAGCCGCTTGTTTGACTTTCTCGGCCCCCTTCATTATTCACACTGTCTCAATACATGGATATAAATATCTAATAAGAAAAGAACATACATTCATTATATTCCTGAACTATTCACACCTAAAGAAAAAGAGAACAAACTCTGCGTCAACAATTGACACTGAATTTAATGTTTGTCTGAATTTTGCCTGAAGGAGAACAAGTTGCATAAGGAGAAGATAAAGGTACTGTAGGTGTAAACATTGAAGATGTAAAGACCAGCACCTACAATGTTTCACAAAGCCCACCACTATTGTTCTGTATATTTACTCTCAGTGCGATGCAACTTCGATACATCCTGCATTTATTAAATATTTATATTGGTCATGGGTTTAGCATATAAATAATGTTCATTGTTGTGCCATGCTGTTGGATTGCATTATTCTCTGTGGCTGTTGTGAAGTTGAAGTTTGATGGTTAAAAGTGAATTGTGAGTATTTGATCATGCTATGTGTGATATTCAACAATGCTCTGTGAGGCGAGACTGGAAAACTGTGTTGGTAAAAGGCCACAAAAACACATGTGACTTATTTTGTTGCAAAAAAATGGTAAGAAATGATCCACTACAAAACTGCACATATGGTTGTGAAAGGGTATAGCTATAGGAAGGTTTCATTGCACCAGTTACAGTCGGAGAACTAACACCTTTTATGATTACGATTCTGTTTTCACAGCAAACATTTAAGCACAGTTGTAGCTCATAACATTAATAATATAATGGCTGCATTCCATTCAGGTGGTATTGTTCATGCTGCCTCATTGTTACTGAATAGCTTACTGAGACACTTCGTATCAATAATGTAAGTGACTGCAGTCTAATAGTGCATGGAATTTGGCTGTACCCAACTTCAACCTGAGCAGAGGTTTAATTAGTCAGTGAAAATACCCGTGTGGGTGTGCAGGCCTTTAAGTTATTAGTGGATAACAATCACAATGTTCTTTCTACTGAGGGGCTTACGCATGTACACTTACTGCAAGTCTGTACAATTAAGTCGTGGATGTCAAGATGGTGGCCACTATTGGCAGTTTTAAAGTCTGCCTGATTATATACTGATTTGAAATGAAACTGAATTAGCTGCTCTGTTTCATATTAATTTGATGTGTGAAGTCAACTGTGGAAGTCTAGCCAGTATATGTTGCTCAGCCACATCATCTAACAGACCTTTGAAGGGTCTGTCGGACTAATCTGTAAATTAATCTGTCAGTCACACTGACTAAATCGTGCCCGCACAATCGGCTACCAAAATATATCAAAATATCAGTAGCTTAATCATTAATTGAACATTTCTTTGCTAAACAACTGTATCACACCTTCTGCCTAAGTGGATGCTGATTGGCTACAGGCAGGAAACAAACTTGCACAGACTTCTCCACACCTTTTATCCTTTGCTTTATTCACAGCAGAAACACACTGCCGCAGAGACTGACCAAAGTCTGACATTTCACAGTACCAAAATTGACAACTCATGCTTCACTATTTGTGACAAGAAAATTGCTGCCACATCCAACAACACCTCAGACTTAATGGAGCAGTGAATAGTGCACAACGTTCAGCAAGCTCAGGCAGGTTGGACTGGAGGACGAACAAAAATGGATTTTTGTTGTTGGCATAGGTCTCTCTATTTAAACTTTTAACTCTAAAGGAAAACTCTTTTATATCAATACATCAAATGGTACATCCTCTGCAGTCTGACATCACATATTTTGAGTAATTATTATTGAATAAAAACTTTTTTGGGATTTAAAAGTACCGTTTTGTTAGGAGTATCACAGTAATGGTAGCAGTATAAAGCAGAAGCACATTAAACACAGCTGTCAGGTCAAGGATATTCTACGTCCTGGAGCATATGGACAATTGAACAACTTCATACTGTGTGCGCAAACAGACTTTTAACTTTACTGCAAATGTATTCCCTCAGAAGTAGAGACATTCTGGATTGAAATGTTACCCTGCAAAAAATGAAGTTTCTTAATTGGCCATCTTCTGTAGAAGTCATCTATTTAATTATTGCTTAGTCCCATTGCACCGGATTTGCAACGTTCTTCTGCTGAATTAAAAGGGACTCTTTCCCTTTTCTCTTTTAAAGATGAGAGACAGAAGATATTTTAGAGATTGTAATATATTAAAGTCATGTGCAAATTTACCATTTATTTATTAGTGCATACAAGTTTACAGGGTCCAAAAACCACTGCAGGTACACACAAAAGCCTTTGATGAATACCTCCATCCGTTCATGGATGTTGCAGATCATAAAGGGACCAGTTTCTACTGTGGAGGTAGTGCAGAGTCCTGTCTGGGGGGTGACTGGCAAAGTGAGACAGCCTTTTTAGGCTGGTGGGAACGAATGTGTGTGGGCTGAGCAGTCTTAGTGGAACGGGCATGTACTGAGTGAGCGGACTGGATATGATCCAAGGTTAGTGCACTGAACCAGTCTGACAGGTGAAGGATTGCAGACTTGGCCAGGGAAAAGATGTAGTGGTGGTTTCTGAGGGCACGAGGGTGCCTGCTGCCAGCCAGGAGGTGTGTGGAGGAGGAGTGAGTGGGGAAGCTGGAGGGAAGTAAACTGTAATGAGAGCTGTTCGGGTGGCAGTGTGAGAT